GGGGGTAAGAGCTCCAACAAGCCGTTTAGGACAGAGAGTGAATACCTGGTGAATACACATACTATACAGAGATGCTGTATGAGAAACCAATATGATTTTGGAAAATTGCACAATTTAAATCTATTCTAGTAGACCTCAACAATGGAAATATGATCAGTAGAAATGGCCATGACATGGGACCTTTAAGCTGAAAAAAAAAGCGGCTGAGACAGAGACCAATAAGCACAGGAGCAAAGAGTCAGACACAACAAAGTGATGAACAGTCCCTAGAAGAAAACAAGCTCACTCAGTCCATTGTGCCTCTCCTTTAGTTGCCTCATCTTCATATTTAGCAGGCTTTATTAAACACTTTGGCAAGTGTATCTGGACGAGGCCATTCTGGAATGGAATAAAACTAGAGCAGATTAGAGGGGGAGGGAATCATAAATAATACAAGTTTGTCTGTATCTAAAACTAACATACTGCTGCATCAGTAACTATCCCTTAGTTGGGAAATCCATAAGCCATCGGTCTTTCTGGCCTCTACTATTCCTTTCAGTTTGACTATTTTCACTGTATTATCTCAAGGCATGTGGAACAATAATTCACAAAAACGGCTGAAATGCTTCTCATGAACATAAACTGGAATTGATTAGAAAAGATTATGGAATTGATTGACTATTTTTGGATACAAATATGCAACCAGTCCAAGGCTAATAAATGTAAAGCTTAAACACAATGCACCTATTGGTCTGAGTCAGCACAATCCTCCTCTTCCCTAACAAACTTAAAGTGACCTATCATGCAAATGCACTTTTGTACGTCTTTTATACATGAACATTTCCCTAGGTGTTCCAGGAACTCACCAAGTGTCAGAAAAAAACCATCTCTATTTCCCCTCCATACCCAAATCTCTTTAAAAAGGGGCTGCAACGATTGGAACAGACTGATCCATGATTTGAACCACTCTATGACGCACAGAAGTGGCCTACGGCTATGGGCCAACTTTCTCACTCGAAAGGAGAGAACCAGCTAACGGGGACAATTGCCGTTGGAAACCGCCTGGAGACGCTGTAGTACATATGCCAGGCCTGTAGATGGTGCTGTTCTCACAGAATCAGCCCATGCAAAGACAGTGTTAAATTGAGCGAAATGAGGAATGGCTAAAATGCATGATCTGTTTGGTATTTTGAAAAATAAAAAGTATAAATATGCCTTATATAGGTATGGTCCTACACTATATTATTCAAATAGCATGATAGGTCCACTTTCAGATCAAATATTTTCTCTTTTTTTCCAACTATACAGTCAAGTTTCTGTCCAGGTCTATCTGGTCAGGTTTCTCCCAGTGAAACCAACATCTTTGGGAAAAAACAAACAGCAAAATGTGTTATTCTGTTCCTCTAAAGTCTGATCGCCTCGGGGTTTGGTGTGATGGCCTGCTGCCGCTCCATTGGGTAAGAGAGGTGTGGCAGAGCAGATGGAAACCGACCAACATTTCCACAGAGGTATACTGCTCCTGGATCAACATCGTCACTTTTATTTACTGAATTAGATAGTGTGCATGTATATGGATTTACTTTTGTATACACGTTTTATTTAATTTATATCGCACAGGTGATGACCTAAGTATTAATCCAGAGAATGCCATATGGTTTATGTTATACTTACATTGGCCTTTTATTAGGATTTCTTACTACAGTCGCAAATCAACAACACATTCAATGTACTCTGCATTAGCTTATGTCAGCTAATGACTTCCATTTGCTGGATAACACCTAAGATCGATTTTCTCTGCAAAGAGGAATGGGCCTATTTGAAATATTCTAATATAAGTTCTGCCCTGGGGTTGAAACAATCAAACAGATGTATTAGTCGCTGCTGCTCTCCTGTTCCTGAGTTGGAATATACTAAAGTCTCTCCCTTATTATTTCCTTTTCATCCTGCAGGACCTTTTTGGCCTTTAGCTTTACTCTGCTGCAGGAATTAGAAACATGTTAACAGAGAGATGAAATGCCATTCATCAGGGCTGACACCAAATCTGTGAGATGACAAGGCGGCGGCAGGATCTCAGACTGTATTGGTCAGGAGATGAATGGACCAGAGGAGTAATTCAAAGTGAAATATCAGTCCCCTGAGAAATAGATCCCCTTATTCCAGGCACCGTGACAAATTCCTTTTAGAAAGTAAAGCAGTTTTTCTTCTCAAGCCTAATTTACAGTTGGCACTGAGGTGACACACTATACCTTAACTGTGCAATCCAATTGCTCGGAACCAGATTGATTTTGAAGGAAGAAAAAAAACAATGATAATTCCTTTAGGGTTGAGTCCACTCGATACATCTCTCATGACGTTTTTAATACAATCTTTAATTTCGATAACTGTTGTGTTGGATTTACTTTGTCTGAAGTGTCAGTCTAAAGTTATTGCCTTGTGAAACATTATTTGGAAAATTGGAATTCACATGATTTAAGACCAAGACAAATACGCTTGTGACAAATGCTTTTGTGAAGAGGTGCTTGAATAAGAAACGTTTAAGAAAAGAGATAATTTAAACTTACAGGGTTAGGCATATCATCCATTTGAACAAATAATTCATGATCTTTAAAGATGCTTTTAGGCTTGGAAATATTGGTGAATACACTCAAATATTTCTTCTTAAGATATTTGTGACTGTTGCTTATTATATAATTAAAGGGAACATGTCTCAATTTTACTTCAGGCTGTTTCTTTTTATAGAATTTCTTTTTTTTACTTGACCATTGGTTTTGGATGCAAATAGTGTACATTTTCATTGTATTGCAAACTCAATCTTAGTTGTGATTTTACTCTTAGTTACAGGTATACACATGTTCCATCATCAGCAATCTTTGCAGTAATATAACCCAACATCAATTGAATTTGTTTTATTTTCAGAATAAACACTGTGTTATGATATTTCTTTTTTAAGCTGGCTGCTTCAAGTGATGAAATTATGTCAAAGCACCCATGTTGCATAAAGTGTAGGACTTATGAGACTCACATTTCTACATCTTAATAGATTTGAAATGGTTTAGTTTACTACATTGCAATATATTTCTGTAATATATTGATGGTCACATGCAAAGAACATCTTATTTTTTAACTGTTTTGAGAAGAATCAAATAAACGGAAATGAAAATATGTAGTGTAATTTAACTTATCATCATGTCATTATCTAAAACGGTACATCATTCACCAACTGAGCTTCATTTTGTGTAAATGTAACATCCACAGAGCTCCAGGAAATTGGGAAAGGGGAATCCAAAGAGGCAGAACAGCTCTTAGTGTCTCTTGGCGCTTCATTATGTCAGCTGCCTATTTTTTGCAACGAGGTATCAAAGGGATGAATGACCTTCAGTTCTGTGGCATTTGGGACATGGGGGGACATTATCTTCATATGCTGTGTCTCCTTCTAATCACCTTTCCCCCACGATTAATGACAGGAAATTGCTCTTTAGGCGATGATGAGTCAGACCAGGCACGTGGTAGAAAATGCAAATGGCCTTTTGAGGACTGGAACATAGCGGCCATTGATGTGTTTCTACTTTCAAAAGAAACATTAAGCATTGAGGACGGACAGCATTTGGGCTTTTAGCACCTTGTGTCCTTTAGTATTCCAGTTCAATAGCAACTATATGTTACCTGCTGTGGGGATACATTGAAGCTTGTAATAGGTACACAGACCTCCAGCTGATGGGACCTGCTTGTCCTCTCGGGTGCCTCCATTCTCTCAATGGCTTTTCTCTCTTTTAGTCATCATGCCAGAGCCAATACTCTCTGCACTCTGCACCATGGAGGGAATAACACCTTTCTATAGCTGGAAAGAAAAACATGTGGTTAGTGGGATTAGTCACATCTACTAGAGGGCGAGAATAACATTTGGTTTATTTGATAAATGTTATTATACAAACAGGTGGATATTCTAAAAATAAAAAGACAAACACTATCATTTCATTTTTTGTTTACTGACAGGACCAGTGATTTACTGTGGCCTTTAGGGTAATGGATTTTTTTTTTCTGTTTTCTCTCCTCAGTACAACTGCAACAGACAGACGCTTCACTGAACATGAGATGCATGTAGGGCTTCTCAGATGTGCAGCACAATGTTCATTTTTTTATTTTCCATTTGATTTCCGACTATGCGATTGTCAAAATGTAAAGAGTGTGTCAAAGCCTTCCGGTTAACAATCTGAGAAGGAAGATGAAGGTGAAGATGAAAGGAAATGAGATCTCTTTATGCTTTTGGTCCGATGAGAGCAACCTGTGACAGACCAAGTCTCTTAGCATTTTGTTCTGTCTTTGTCAAAAAAAATGAATTATAAACCAGCCGAGTGCT